AATTATGAGGCATATAATTAATTTTTGGGAACTTGATACCTCAAAACAAAGATGCTGTGTATAGTAAATTTGCAGAATAAAATGAATACAATTCAATAACAATTTCCAACAATTTATAACAGCAAAGCTGATTACAAAGCTACATTCATAGTGGAAACACTCAGAGTGATCAATAAGATTATTAAAAAAAATAGTACAAAGATTGACATAATATGACTTCTTGCAGGAAAGTGGTGGTGTACATCTTTAATCCCAGCATTTGGGAGGCAGACACAGGCAGATCTCTGTGAGTTCAAAGACAGAGAAAGCCAAAACTCAAAAAAAAATTACATCAAAGCTATAACAATCGTGAATGTGAACAATATTTAAAATAAATATTTAGAAAAACAGAATACTTAAATTCTACTTTGTGTTATAAGTGAGCTCTCTGACGAGAGCATCAATTCCCAAATCAAAACAATCCAAATTAAGAAATATCCAGGTTTAATGGAAGATCAAAGCTCTAAGGTGGCCTCAAGGGTAAAACTGGGAAGCTGCAGGACCACAACCCCCAGTAAGAAGAAAGGGAGACCACTCCCAGGCAGGCCACAGGCTTCTCACCGCCTCGTGGGCCGCACGCACTTGCTGAGCCCTGTCTCCCTGTCCAGCTGGCTTCTGAGCTCGCGCCCCCCCCCCCCAGCGCCAGCCTCCTCCGCCTCCGCTCTTCCCAACACAGCCGCCTCCACCAACCACGTGGCCTAAGTCCATTTCAGAGCATCCTCCAAAGTGGCTCTTAGGTCAAAAAGGGGTCGCGAAGATTGAATGACCAGCCTCCCGATACAAACGGATCTCTGCCTCAGCCAACCCCAATCCCGCAGGATTGACCGCACCTGACTAGAATTCCCAGCGTGAGCTCAAAACTTCAAATGGAAATCCGAAAACCACAAAAATAAGTACGAATGGGTCCCCCGAAACCCTATAGCATAGACAAGAAAAGGAACTCACCAAGACGCAGCCGCTGAAGCCCAGAAGCCCAGAAGCATGGCATAGAGAGCTCCACCTGCAGACTAGGGGCCTTTCAACACTAGGCCTGCCACGTGGAAAGGACCCTGACCTAGCTCAGTGGAAGCCTCCAAATGTTAGGAATATTTCCTAAGCGAGCTCTCTGATGACACAAAAATTCCCAATCAAGCCAAATCAAAACACGCCAAATTAAGAAATATCCAGGTTTAATGGGAGATCTGCGCTCTCCGGTGGCCCCCAGGGGAAAACGGGAAGCCGCAGGAACGTGAACCACAGGAGGAAGAAAGGGAGACCACGTTTCTCTTTTGGGGGATGAATTAAGTACCGTGGGGGTGGGGTCTTGACACCACCCCCAGGGAGGGGTCAGGACCTGGCATGCTGGGATTTGAAGTCCAGACCGGGCCTGGTGGCTGGGATAGATGTGAAGGACTGGGGCCTAAGCTTGCAGCCTAAAACTTTATGTGTCCTTGTCTTGTAGTCAGAGTGATGAATAACTTAAATATCACCAAAGGACATTCATCCAGCAACTGATGGAAGCAGAGGCAGAGACACACATCACAGCTCTGGACTAATCTTTCAAAGTACAGTTGAAGAGTGGAAGGAGTGAGAATATGAGCAAAGAGGTCAAGACCATGAAACAGTTTAACTGAGCTAATGGGAGCTCACCAACACCAGTCAGACTGGGAAGGAACCAGCATAGGTCCAAACTATTCCCTTGGAATGTGGTTGACAGTGATATGGCTGGGGAAGACTGATGGGCCACTGGCACTGGCACCAGGATTTATCTCTACTGCTTGTACTGGCTTTTTGGGAAACTATTCTCTTTGGATGGATACCTTGTTCAGCCTAGATATAGTAGAGAGGGCCTTGGACCTTCCACAAAGCCTTACCTTCTCTAAGGAATGGATGGGTGGATGCTTGTCTGTTACCAAGTGCTCAGACCTGAAATAATAACACAGAAACCATATTATTTGCAATGGCGTTTTGTAACATGAAGGGCCAACGTTAAAACAATTCAAAGAGAGCATAATAACATACAGTATCAAGATTCTCTGTGTATTTTCCATTTTATGTGGCTTTAATTAAAATTTATTTCTTTTATTCTTACTTTTTCTTTTTGAGACAGGTTCTCTGTACATCTTCGCCCAGGAATAACTCTGTAGACCAGGCTGTCCTTGAACTCAAAGAGATCTGCCTGAACAGTGCTGAGATTAAAGGTGTGTGCTACCACACCCCGAACTCACAGAGATTCATCTGTCCTTGCCTCCCAGGCATTGGGATTAAAGGTGTGTCCTGCCACACCTTGAAGTCACAGAGGTCAATCTACCTCTGCCCCTTGAAGTCACACAGATCAAACTACTTCTGGCGATGCAAAATTTCCCAATAAAGTCAAATCAAAACAATCCAAATTAAGAAAATCCAGGTTTAATGGGAGATCTGTGATCTCAGGTGGCCTCAAGGGGAAAACCTGGAAGCTGCAGGAATGCAACCCCAGGGAAGAAGGGGGAGACCACGCGTTTCTCTTTTGGGGGATGAATTAAGTACCCGGGGGAGGGGTCCCAACCCCACCCCCAGGGAAGGGTCAGGACCTGGCATTCTGGGATTTGAAGTCCAGACCAGGCCTGGTGGCTGGGATAGATGTGAAGGACTGGGGCCTAAGCTCACAGCCTAACACTTTGTGTGACTTAATGTCTCCTAAGAACTGGTAAATCCTTATACCATTAATTCTATTATCAATTCTACTCTCCTACATCACAGTTTAGCAGCGGGGTGCTACTCTACACAGGAGAAACCTTTTACAAGCCACACAAAATTAACTACAGACGAATCCTAAACCTAAATGTTAAAAGTGCAGAACTTCTGAAGACCCAGGAGAGACCACAAGTCTCCGAGTTTGGCATATTTGGTGATATCTCCACATGCAAAAATATAAGCACTATAGGCACCATCATTTGCGACTCCCAAAGCTCTGCTCTGTGCAGACACAGCCCAGGCAGTGAAGTTATTCAGAGGCTGCCAGCAGGGAGTTGCAAGGATCACTTAGAACTACTTAAGATGAGGCAGGAAGAGGCAGCAACACACTAAACTCTGTTTGTCCACTGGCTCCCACCCAGCCAGCAGAGGACACACCACACCAGACGCGAGCCTCAGCAGGCCGCTCCACCTAGTTTGGGAACAGCGGCCCCTCACCCGCCAAACCCAGCCACTCCTCCACACGTGGGGACTTTAGCCCCTTACTCACCTTGGCACACCGCTCCTCCTGTCTGTGGAGAGCAACCCCTCACTCACCACGGTGCAGCTGCCAAGCTCAAATGCTCTCTCCCAACAAGGGAGACCAAGGCGCAGAGGAGGAGAGAAACGATGATTTCTTCAGGAAAAGCTAAACTGGAAGCCTGGCTCCTGGAAGAACCCTCCCATTTGACTGGTGGGTCTGCTAGGGGCTCTGATTGGCTAGTGAGGTCTGAGTGACAGAACCAGGTGAGCAAAAGGTTCACAGCACAGCATTCCCAGCACTGGCTGCTAATTATAATTCTAAATCAAGTCTCTTGCTAATGTAAATCGGTTTTAAAAGGAAGTATACAAATTCAGAAAGAGGAAATCAGACAATGTTGCACAAGAAATACACTGGGTAACTCAAGTACATTATAAACAAAGTCCTCAGTGGTGTTGGGATGGATAACCAGTTTTCACCCTTCTGTGAAAAAGTCCTGGTTTCTGAGAATCTGAAACAACCCTTTTCCAAAGGCCCTGGCCCCACATCTTTACCAGCTCTCCCAAGTGTATTCCCAAGAGCTCTGTTATTGCTCTATACATCAGGGCCTTAGGGAAACCTCCCAAAGCCTAGGCAGATTGCCAAAGTCAGAGATGTGATAACACAGAATTAAAAGAAAACTTATAAATCTACAGAATATTGACAGAATAACTCAACTACTTTTTATAAAACATTTCATGAGATGAGGGAATAATTTCTTGTTTAAGATACTGGTCCTATCTTTGGGCAGTTCTGCCTTTGTTCTAGATCTATCTAATATGACGCTGCAGTGAAAATAACATCAAATACTTCTTCACTGGTTATCCCTTCAGATCTTTGCTGAAATTTCATGGCTCTGGATCCCATGTGCATTTCCTGTAGATAAATATTCTTCCAGTATTTCAGAGTTGCTTCTTGAAAAAAAGCCTACAACTTTAAATGTGTATTTGTAAAGCATAAAGTCTTATAGATATGGTCTGACTGTGTCAGGGTAAAACAGAACTAATGTTTGCCTTATTCAGAATATTACCATTTTAGTCACCATATAAACACTACTTTAGACCAATAGTTGAATGATTTGTGATAGCTAAAACATGGGATGAGGAAATGATAGGCTGCAAATAGCGTCCAAGGTTTTAAACTTAAGAGTTTAGCATCCTTTTGATGGGTCAGTGGTGGTACATGTCTTTAATCCCAGCATTAAGGAAACAAAAACTGTAGATCTCTGAGGCCAGCCTGGTTTACAGAGTGAGTCCCAAGACAGTCGGGACTACAGGGAAAAACACTGTTTATAAAACAAAAAAAAAGAAAGAAAACATCTTTTTCCTGGATCCCAATTGAAGCGTTATTAAGACAAAACATCTTTTTTCCTGGATCCCAATGGAAGAGTTAATGAAACAAAATGTCTTGAGATTAAGTGGATCTAGTATAAATCCATATATATATGTGTGTGTGTGTGTGTGTGTGTGTGTGTGTATTCTATAAATTCTATAGGAGGAGAAAATATTACTGTTCCTAGGCATATCTCAGTCCCTCTACAATGCATGATAAATAACTCCTTTATTCCATCGGCCTGCAAGTCTGTGTGTCTATTTCAAAATAGCCAGTATGGTTCCTGTTTCAGCACAATACAGTCACACCCCTTATGCAAAATAAGATATACCAGATTAGAACCTAGTATCTGCAGATTAGCACCCGGAATCTCACCAGCACAGACACTGCACTGAGCAAGTCTTTCATTCTCAACATGCTTGACCTGGACTCCTGGCCTCACACTCCTCACGGTGTCCTGCTGCTGACCCTACTGCTGGGACTTCCAGGTGAGCATGCTCAGGAGTACAACAATATCTCCTGTGTAAAGGGGAAAGTATTGACTCAGGACACCCAAGGTCCAGTTCTCAGGACAAAGATTTATTTACCCCAGAGGGACAGAGGGTAGGGATAAGGGACAATGACAGGAAGCAGAGAAAGAGGGGAATAGAACCATGGAAAGGGAGCTGGAATATTTGTCCTGGAGGGACAAAGTACTGCCTCTGGATAGAGAGGAGACAGATGTGGCACATAGGAAAATGTCATTTTATAAAGGAAAAATAGGAAACCCCGTGTTAGAAAGAGGTGCTTAATTGGGCATGTTAATTGGGTGAGCCCAAGAAGGCTTTTGATTGCTGGATTTTAATACATTGATAACAGAACGTTGGCAGTCAGCCTCAGGAAAAGGGATTGTCAAAATACTGGAACAGACCTTAGGGGACTAGCTTCAGGAATGTAATCTGATGGTTATTAGCACAGCAGAAAGAACTGGGGAGAAGGTCAATGTCTGTTAGAGCCACATGCTCCAGTGGGCTAGTGTCCCCTTCACTATGAATAGAACTGAAGGGTTCCAGGTGAACAACAGAACATTGTTCATTTTCTAGAGGCAGTGTCTGGAGTACTGCTCTGTGAGTCCATGGGTTGCCACAGGTGACCAGAAACATTCTATCTGGAAATCCTTAAAAAATAATAATTAAATTTTTCTAATACTATAGCTGACAAATTTACTTTAGTAGAATCCCATTTAAATCCATGTAACTCTGACCCCTTCAGAGACAGCATGTCAGTTCCAAAGCAGTTGATGGCCTGTCTCCACCCTCGACTCACTTCCTGAGCCAAGGGTGGTGACATGGCTAGAGGGAAGTGTCTCTGGCAGTGCTCAGCCATCATCATCCTTCTCACTAAGTTTCCTCATTCTGTCCCCCAGTTCCTTCCTCGTGTGACCACAAACTTCTCACCGAGTGCTGCTGTCTTACTAGTGCTTGTTTTATTGGTAGGGTTGCCACAGCATTGTACCACAGACTGGCTATCAATACAATCAATAGTCATTCATTTTGGCACAGTTCTGGAGGCTGGAAACCCAGGGTCAAGATGACCACCAAGATACTTTTTTCCGTGATGCCTCTCCTATTGTGAATCGTACCTTCTCCTTCTCTCCACACAGGATCTCACTTCAGACTGTCTCTGTAGATCTTTTGTTTCTTGAAATGAAAGCAGTCACATTGGGTTAAGATCCACCTTAATTGACTTTTACTCCTTTAAAGACCCTGTTTCAAATATAGTCACATTATGAGGTACTGGTCTATGACTTTGCTATGTAGAGTGTAAGCAATTCATCTATACCAGGTACTCACACATCCCTGATCTTGTTGATATTCTCCAGGGAGCTTTGTTTCCCTTCATCAATAAGAATTATTGGCACTCTGAGTGGTCCCTGCCATGATTCTCAAAGGTTGTTTGTCCTCAGTTTCTTCTTTGTCCGTTTGAAAAACTTGATGACTTCAGGTCAGGGCTTATCAGCCCTCAGGCTCCCCACTTTGGCTAGGGGAGCTATTGTGTCATCTGATAATAGAAGTCAAGCTTTTAATCTGTCCTCACTGTACTCTACTGCAGCTGATACTAGCAATGATTGATAAGACCTTCTGGAGATTTTAGCACTTTCTGAAAATTTTGTTTTTTATTTTCTCAAATTAATATATAATTACATCTTTTTTCCCTAGTCCCATTCTCTTATTCATTGACTCTGTTTCTTTAACTGTTCTCACTTTCTCTTTCTCCCTCACTCTCTTTATATGAATATCTCCTCTGTATCTCTGTTTTTGTCTCTCTTTCAAACACACACATTCCTAAATATATAAAAACAATTTGCTCAGTCTATATACTGTTACAGCAACAAGGACAACACCAATACACATGATAGCATTAAAGGAGAATATTTTTCACTGAGAGACATTGTGTGTCCTTGCTCTGTCTTTATATTCACATTTCAGCCTTGCTTGCGTTATTCCTGTCTCCATACCATAATCATCTGTTTTCCTACAGTCTCCAATGCAATAAAATAGCCAGCAGACTGAAATTTCTAAAATGTGATATTTAGTACAACTTTGGCTTTTATTGGCTAATTTATCTTAGGAATTTACTTCAGTATTGTGAAGTTGTCTAGTACAAATGTCATACTTGGAGTATGAAATATACCCAAAAATTCGTGTATTAAAGCCTTTGTTCCCAGCTGATGGAACTACTGTGAGAGATGATTGGGTGTTAGAAGGTCAGGTGGACATGAGCCCCATTATACTCTGTCTTCGTGAGGAGGTTCTGCCTCCCCTGAGACCACAGCAAAGGAGACAGTCAGCACTGTGATCCCTGAACTCTCTGAAACAGAGACAGATGTAATATTATTTCCTTGCACCCTCCACTATTTTTCAAATCAATAGAAAGATAATTTAGCAAGCCTTAACTATCACCAGATGTACATCTATACCTAGAGCTAGATGCAGCTCCATAATCTCGACCAAGCTCCATGACACCATGCAGATACCCAGTGTCAGTGAACGATCCATGACCCAGAAAATTATCTGAGAAATTACTTTTCAATGTCGTGTTCGTGAGCACTCGCCATGTCCCAACTACTGTATAATGTACTTCACTGTTCTACCTCATGTGGGCCTACATGTCAGGTTAATGCTCGTGTCACACTGCCACAGCGCAGAAGAAGAAGCACAAACAACCCTGACGGCAATGTTTAGAGCTGTGGTTTGAATTCAGGCTGATTGACTGAGGCCATAGGATTAGCAATCACTCCTCCCAGAGACTTTCTTCTATCCCATGAGCTTTAGCTAGTGAAATGGGCACAGGGTCTGTGGGTTTCTGCACCTGTTCTCTTCAGCTTCCTCCTTACATGCAAACAGTTTTTATTTGAAAATGTCATTCACATGGGAAACAAGGTTTCTATTTCTACATCAATCAGCAATTTCAAATGGGTGTGAGTCACATGGGAAGATGCACACTGAGCAAATCACATATACAGGAGAATTTGTTGAGTCCTGACTATGAAGTAGAGACTGTGGACAAAACGGATCCACTATCCTTCACTTTTACTATTGTGTAAAGTGCTCTTTTCTTTGCTGAAACAATTTTCTCCTGCATCCCGTGGCACTTGACAGGCTTTAGTGTGGGTGTTGTTACTGTTCCCCTGGATATATTGAATATTGAGGCTGCAACCCTTATGGTAGTGTTCTGGGATTTCTGTGGACTCACGGATGAGGGTGTAAAGGACTCTACCTTCCACAACCCTAACTGGGTGAAGTCAGAAACTCTTTCCTTGCATAGATAGTACACAGTTACAGCAGCCTGGACTCTAGATAAGGGACAAAGAAAAAGGATGGAGTTTCTCCCAAGCAAAGCTTCTGTGCAGACTTCAGTTCTCCCTAAATCTGCTAAAGCTGGAAAGGACTGGATGCTTCTACTAGCTGTGATCATCTTCATCCATGCAAACAAAATTTGATGAGATTCTCAAATCCACTCTTCAAAGCAGATTTCACAGATGTCATGATAATTAGTTCAGTTTTCTGTTCTTTCCTCCCAGAAACACAAGGTCCTAGCACTCACTTGATGACTTCCTTCTCTCCTCTCTCTCTCTCTCTCTCTCTTTCTCTCTCTTTTTTTTTCTCTCTCTCTCTCATAGTTGGTTTGCTCAAGGAGCAGCTGGCTACTGCTTTAGTTCTTTGTGAAAGATGAGGTGGGTCCCGGGCATAGGACATTGAGTGTAAATCTCCCTATATTTACCATTTTACTTTTATAGAATCAAACTACTTTTTAAATTACAAAGACATTATTTCATTTTAGTTTTTATTAAATATGTTAGAGCATCATTGATAATAAGAAATGTTGCAGTGGAATGGCTACTACTCATGTGTCGTGTTTAAGCATGTCTATTGGAAAAGCAAGCCATACATACTGCTTCTATACTTTTGGTTTCATCTCTGTCTCTACATTTTAGGTCCCATTCATCAATAAATTTTTAAGTTACAACTTTTTTAAAAATACAATACTACATCAGTCCACGAAGTTTTGAGAGTTGCTACATTTTTCAAATTCTGGACTTAACCTAAAAAACTAAATAGGTCTTTTTAATCTTTATGATTTTTCTATATTTTTTTTAAAAAATTGGTCTAGGATTGTAGGATTTCTAGTTCAACAAATTATGGAACTTTGAGAAAATTATTTATTTAATTTTGCATAGAGCTATGCCAAAATGTAAATTATTGTATAGGCTCATATGGTCTACCCCATTCCCATTATTTTTTTCCATATTTGATTTTTAATTAGTAAGTATTCTAAGACTATCAACATGCTTGCTAGATTTGTTATTACTCACTACTCAAGTTTTAATTTCACAAAGTTGCCCTTTGCTTTCGGCTTCAGTTATCAAGGGAAGCAGATTTTCCACATCAGACATTCTTGTTTGAGACCTAGCAGTGTCTCCCACCCTTCCTAGCAGCTCCAGGTATATGGCCTTCCCTCAGGCTATTAATGAGAACCACAAGGTAGAAGATTAGAGTCATCATCTTCAAAAAGCCTAAGTAGAAGTTGGGAGCTCGGGATGCTTTATGAGATTTTAAAATTCAGAGTACACTCAGAGTTGTATTGTCTTCTAAACTAGGCCTTATTCTCTGAGATTCTTTATTTCAACACAAGGGAAACCCATTAGCATTTCCTGAAGGACAGGTATTGATATCTCCAAACAGGAATCATTGTAATAGTCTCAGATTTTTAACTACAAAGCCTGTTTTCTCTCTTGTGTTGGTCACATAGTGTTACACTGTGTGGAATCTTGGGTTTTATTTAAATTCTGGATGTGTTTTCTCTTTTAGAACTGTGAGTACATACATTGTCTCATGGCCTCCTGGATGCTAACACTTCTGATAAGAGCTGTGATCCTATCATTTAGCAGGACAAGATGAGTCATGCTCCATCCAGACAGCACTCAGCATTCTCTTTCTACTCTGCTTTTGTCTGTTGGATTCTAGCATATGCTGGTGTGTGTCTCTGAGTTTATTTCATGCTGAATTAGATCAGTTGTTGGATTTATAGTTCTTTCTTTTTTTTTTTTTTTTTTTTTTTTTGGTTTTTCGAGACAGGGTTTCTCTGGAGCTTTGGAGCCTGTCCTGGAACTAGCTCTTTTACACCAGGTTGGTCTTGAACTCACAGAGATCCGCCTGCCTCTACCTCCCGAGTGCTGGAATTAAAGGTGTGCGCCACCACTGCCCGGCGGATTTATAGTTCTTTTTTTTTTTTAAAGGGCAGCTGCCGAGAGACCCGGAACTGAAAGAGGGGCTGTGGATATAAACCAGCCTAGATAGTTTAAGAATGCCTTAACTTTATTTTTTTAAATATTTATTTATTATGTATACAATATTCTGTCTGTGTGTATGTCTGCAGGCCAGAAGAGGGCACCAGACCTCATTACAGATGGTTGTGAGCCACCATGTGGTTGCTGGGAATTGAACTCAGGACCTTTGGAAGAGCAGGCAATGCTCTTAACCACTGAGCCATCTCTCCAGCCCGGATTTATAGTTCTTATATTTTAATAAACCAGGAAAGTTTTAGACAACAGTTGTTTTCCAATAATCTTGTCACTACACTCCAAATACATAAATTTTTTCTCTCTATTGTACCTCTGCCCCTGCAGTGCTGCCTAAGTAATGTTATGGTACACATTTCCATGATTTTAGATGTTTTTTTGTAACCTGCTAAATCCTCTGAGGACCCTGTCCATTGGAATAATAAATTTTATATCCCTCAACTTCTCAATATCATTTGGTTCCTTCTCATAGTTTCTCTCAGTTTGGTGTTATATTTTGCAATTCAGACTCTTCACTTTCTTTAGAACTGTTCCTTACTTTCTTTTTGATCTTTTCATATCTCAAATGAATGTTGCACAGTCTTGGTCCAGTAGGATAGGACAGTGCAGTACAATGCAGTGCTACAAGATCACCAAGTTCAGGCAAGAAGGAACAGATGTGTCGGCTATGGGACTTAGAATAACTGGGTAAATTATGCTGTGATGAGAAAACAGGCGACAAGAGAAAGTGATCCCAGGTGACCACATCATGTGCAAGGGAACAAACAGGGCCTCCAGGAGGGTGGGGCACTGTGACCCCTTGGTAGCTGCCATGTCACACCAAACTAGAACTTCTGACTTCCAAAGCATGAAATAAAACGTTTCTGTTGTGTCAAACCATTACCTTTGTAGGAATCTGTTACGTCATCCTTGATGTTAATATAATGTTGGGGCTAGAGGGAGATGGTTTGGGGGTTAAGACCACTTGCAATTCTTCCATGGGACCCAGGTTTCAGTCTGAGCACCCACATGGTGACTTATAACTAATATAACTTCAGTTCCAAGGTCTGTGTCAACAAACTGGGAACTTAAAATAGGGTTTTATTTGTCTAATTAATTTGTATGTTATTGCATGTTGGGAAATATCTATGGCATTATCACAACACCTGGTAAAGCAACCCCCTGACTTGGGAGTCTGACCTAGAATCTGGTAATCAAAGGTACGTCTCAAAAACTATACCTCACACTTAATACTTACATCACTGGTCTCAAAGAGTCAGGTAATCACATCCAGTATTATTATATCCAAAGTACAACATGCCATGTGCACAGAAAATGAAAACCAAGCTGATACTGGCATGAGAAGTTCAAACAGAATTGGGGTTTCGTGAAAATATTGCCAAAGACTCTGTCTCTGAGACTCATTTCCTAATTTCTTACATTTGTTTGCTAAGAGGCCCAAGTGAGGGAAAATGATATCACCTCATACTGAGGTCTAGTTTATAACATTATTTGATGACAAACTAGAGAGGCTGTGGGTTTCCATCATGATGAGTACTAACTGAAGTCTCCTGCAGGAACAGCTACACGGGACCTGAAGGTGATTCAGCCTGAGAAATCAGTTTCTGTCCTTGCTGGAGAGTCAGCCACTCTGAACTGCACTGTGACCTCTCAGCTACCTGTGGGGCCCATTATGTGGTTCAGGGGCACAGGACAGAGTCGGAAACTAATATATAACTTCAAAGGAGAGAAGTTTCCCAGAGTCACAAATATTACAGATTTCACAAAGAGAAACAACCTGGACTTTTCCATCCGCATCAGTAATGTCACAATTGATGATGCTGGTACCTACTACTGTGTGAAGTTCCAGAAAGCAGACTCTGACAGAGAGTTTATGTCTGGGGGAGGCACAGTGCTGTATGTCCTTGGTAAGTACTGCATTGTCCTTTTCCCTCATATCTCCAACTGGTCAAAATGTGTCCAAGATGCTGTGATCACAATGAAGAAGCAAGCCTGTGAGTGACCCTCATGCTCGTAGAGTAACTTTATCCAGCTGTGGGCCAAGGAGCTGAGGAGAGGACATGCTATGGGCTAGCGGTGCCATTTCTGGTAAATGGGGGTGAACCCATACCCTTGCCTGCCTCACAATATCTATTTCTCAATCTGTCCCTGTCTAGTGGCTACATAAAGACAGCTGATGCCATCAGTGACAGGGACAAACCTGACCTACCGCCTCCAGAGTTTATTACCTCAACCAATTAAGTCTTCTCTTTCTGCCAGACAACCTGGGCCTAGTGTATGTCAGGTTCTGTTCTAGATGTAAAACAGATAACAAGAAGCAGGCAAGCATAAGCTCTTTCCCCAAGATGTGAGTTTCCTCCCTCCTAAGAGGAAAAGCAAATCAAGGCAAAAAGTGACAAGCCCAGGGCACAATATGGTTGTCTTACTTGTTCTTAATCCACAGCACTCTGAGATCCATTGGTTGTGTCCACATTCACTGTGGAATCTCTCACCCCTGGTTTACATCTTTGTTCTGGGTCTCTCTGGAAACATTTTGCATCCTACCTGCACAGGCACTGGAGGTTCTGGGCAATGGAGACTTAAGTACTGGAGTTAGTCTCCATGTAGATGATCTCCAATCACAGTCCTGGATTTGGTCTCCATGTAGAGTGAGTCCACAGGGGGTACTCACTTCACAGACTCTCCCTGCAAGCGCAGTATATAGGTCTGCTATACTGGAGGAGTGAAGTCATATAACACATTTAGAGAAACTCCTGACTTGTAGGAAATGTCTCATCAATGTGAGCTTTGTTACTCAAAAGTCATGTGACCTTGGACACTTACTTTCCCGCTCCAGGCCTTAGTTATCAATTAAGTTGAGGGTGTGGGTTGGTGATTCTCAACCTGGTTTCTCTCTTTTCTTTGGAATAATGTGGGAAACATAGATAAATCTAAGATCCATGTTTCTTTATTTGATCTGATATGGGTTTTGGCATCTGAAATATTAAATGTCTCGAGAATGTTCTAATATGCAGCTTGGGTAAATTATTCTCAGATACATTTTATGAAACAACATGAGATATTTGTGATTAGTCCCTTGATAGACCTGTTACGTCACCAAGCTGAGGAAGAACCAACCCTTACGCTTCAGAATAGCAGTGCCCACCATCCTGCACACAATACCCTAGAGACCAAGTAATTGGTATTTCTTACGAATATTTCTCTTATGAGAAATGCCAGGGATATTTCTCAGGGAGGGGACCCCAGGGTCCCCAAGATACAACCAAGGCAGAACACTGTTCAACTCCAATCTCAGGGCACAACTCTCATATATATTGCACAGGGCTGCAGAGGAACAATCTCTGAGGCCTGATGTTTCTCTTTCACTGAGAACTCTACCTTAATGGCACAGGATGTTGCTGAGCTCTCCTCCAACCTTCTCATGCTCATCTGCTCTCTATAATTAGCCCTTCTGGAGGAAGTGCTTGCAGTCCTGATTGTGCTGTAAAAGCCACTGGACAACTTAGTAAGAAGATCCCTAAGAAAGAGGAGGATGTCAGGGTGCAGAACAGCGTTTCTCAACCTGTGGTTCACAACCTGTCTGCTGGTTGAACAGAACAGCAGTTTCGTATCAGATATTTATATTATGATTTATTAAAGTAGTAAAATTACAGTTATGAAGCAGTAACAAAAATAATTTTATGGTTGATGGTCACCACCTGATGGAGGAAGGTCATTGGCTAATAAAGGAACTGCCTTGGCCCATTTTATTGGTTAGAAGATAGGTGGGAGGAATAAACAGAACAGAACGCTGGGAGAAAGAGGAAGTGAGCTCAGACTCCACAGCTCTCCTCTCGGGAGCAGACGCCTCAGAGAGAGAGATGCCATGCCCCGCTCCTGGGCAGACACATGCCATGAAGCTCCGACCCAGGATGGACTAGGCTAGAATCTTCCCGGTAAGACCGGTTCTCACAGATTATTAGAGATGGGTTGATCGGGATGTGAGAATTAGCCTGTAAGTGCTAGAGCTAAAGGGCCAAGCAGTGTTTAAATGAATACAGTTTGTGTGTTGTTATTTCGGGCATAAGCTAGCCGGGCAGGCGGCCGGGGTGCTGGGAACGCAGCCCCGCCGCCCTTATTACTACAACCACCACATGAGGAATAAAGGGTTGCAGCATTAGGAAGGTAAGATACAAACTCCTCAGAGTTTTGGTGGGCTTGGGTGCATAAATGACCCAGGTAAAAATCTCTGATAATAAACTCCTTATGTCTTCTCTAATGGTTCCTCCTACCACTTGATTTCCAGAACTGAAGACATCAGATACTGCTGAAATCCTTGTAGCTGTGCTTCTTGTACCCAAAATGCTACTGGTAATTGGTGCCTCTGCGATCTACATGTACAAGAAGCAGAAGGCCTGACTGTAAGTTAGGAGGGATGGAGGGGGTGTTAATTACTATCTCTTGACGTGACAACATAGCACGATGAAAATAACTTATAGAATAAAGCGTTTCTATAGTCTTACTTGTAGTGATAAAGAGCGGCGGGCTACGTTCCGGCCGCCTGCAAGGCTAGCTTTATACCCGAAATAATTACACGGAAACTGTATTCTTTTAAACACTGCTTGGCCCACTAGCTCTAGCCTCTTACGGGCTAATTCTCATATTTTGCCTAACCCATTTTTAGTAATCTGTGTAGCAACAGTCTTACCGGGAAAGATTCAGCATATCTGACCTGGCGGCTTGCTTCATCGCATCTGCCCAGGAGAGGGGAGCATGGCCTCTGAGCTCACTTCCTCTTCCTCCCAGCATTCTGTTCTGTTTACTCCTCCCACCTATGTTTTAACCTATGAGGGCCAAGCAGTTTATTTTTTAACCAATGACCTTCCTCCATCACTTACTGGTCCAGCGGCCTGAGTCCATCAAGCCTGAGAAGCATGGAAGCAGATCAGGGAGTTGAGAGCTCACATCCTCATGAAACATAGAGGACAAACTGGAAGTGTGACAAACCTTCTTTTTAATATCACAGCTCACCTCCTTAACATACTTTCTCTGGAAGGGCTACACTGCCTAAACTTCACCAAAAAGTAACACTGACTGAAAAACAAACATATATATATATATATATATATATATATATACAGATTATTTCTTTTTTTTGAGGGAAAAAATTTTAACAACGTATTTACTAATAGTACATTTTAAGCTCTCTCTGTGCTAGATCATATGCCAATAGAATTATTTACATGAGCTCTTTTAATTTGTATCATTCCACTATTTTCCCTGAATGGTAACCTTGAAGTTAGATATATATCCTTTACTATCTATCTCAAGCTCATAGGCACTTGACTTTGAAATATTGTTTATATTTTATTATTTTTAATTGGGCTACATATATATTCCCTACTCCCTTTTTTTCCTCCTCTCTTTGCTTCTGCTCTCCCCCTCTGACCCCCATGATCCCAGTTGACTTAGGCGATCTTGTCTTTTCTCCTTTCCAGTCAAATCCAAGTATTTCTCTCTTAGGGTTTCCTTTCTTGTCTAGATTCTCTGAGGTTGGGAATTGTAGGCTGGTTATTCTTTGTTTTAAGTCTAAAACAACTTATGAGTAAATGTATCCTTATCCATTCTTCAGTTGAGAAGCATCGAGACTATTTCCAGGTCTGGACATTATGAATAATGTTCCTATAAACATGGTTGAGCAAATGTCCTTGTGGTATGATTAAGCATCCTTTGGGTATATACCTAAGAGTGACATTTCTGGGTCTTGAGATAGAATGATTTCTAATTTTCTGAGAAATTGCCATACTGGATTCCAAACTGATTGTACCAGTTTGCACTCCTAGCAGCAATGGAGAAGTGTTCCCCTTACTCCACATCCTCTCCAGCATAAGTTGTCATCAGTATTTTTGATCTTGGCCATTCTGACAGGTGTAAGATACTATCTTAGAGTTGTTTTCATTTGCATTCCTCTAATGGCTAAGGATGTTGATTTTCCTTAAATGTCTTTCAGCCATTTGAGATTCCTATGTTGAGAGTTCTCTGTTTAGGTCTGTACTCTATTTTTTAATTGGATTGTTTTTTGTTTTTGTTTTTTTGATATCTAGTCTCTTGAGTTCTTTGTGTATTTTGGAGATCAGCCTTTTGTCTGATGTGGGGTTAGTGAATATATTTTTCCATTCTGTAGGCTGCCGTTTTGTCTTATTGATCATGTCCTTTGCTGTACAGAAGCTTTTCAATTTCAGGAGTTCCCACTTATTAATTCTTTCAGTGTCTGTGCTTCTGGGGTTATATTTAGGAAGTGGTTTCCTGTGCCTATGTGTTCACTTTCTCTTCTATGAGGTTCAGTGTGGTTGGTTTTATGTTGAGGTCTTTTATCCATTTGGACTTGAGTTTGTGCATGGGGATTCTACAAGTCAATATCCAGTCATATCAGCACCATTTGTTGAAGATGCTTTCTTTTTTCCATTGTATAATTTTAGCTTCTTTGTCAAAAATCATATGATCATAGATGTGTAGATTGATATCCGGGCCTTCAATTCAATTCCATTGGTTCTCCTGTTTGCTTTTCTGCCAATATCAAGTGGCTTTCATTACTGTAGCTCTCTATTAAAGTTTGAAGTCAGTGATGCCTCTAGCAGTTACTTAATTATACTGGATAGCTTTGGCTATCTGGGGTTTTTGTTTTTCTATATGAAGTAGAATAATGTTTTTGAGGTATTTGTAGAATTTTGCTTGGATTTTGATGTGTATTGCATTGAATCTATAGATTGCTTTTGGTAAGATTGCCGTTTTTACTATTTAATTTTACCTATCTAAGAATATGGTAGAATTTTCCATTTTCTGGTATCTTCTTCAGTTTCCTTCTTCAGAGATATAAGTCTTGTCATATGGGTTTTTCATTTGTTTTCTTAAAGTTACCCCAAGATAATTTATGTCATTTGTAGCTAATAAAAGATGATGTTTCTCTCTCAGAACACTTATTATCTATATTTAGAAGGGCTACTGATTAAGGTGTTTATCCATTGTAGGAGTTCCCTGGTGTTATTTTCGGGGTCACTTATGTATAATATCATCAGCAAACAATGAAAGTTAGACTTTTTCTTTTCCAATTTGAATTCCCTTGATCTTCAATTTTTGTCGTATTGCTGTAGCGATAACCTATAACTTCAATTACTATACTGAATAGATATGGAGAGAGTCCTTTCTTGTTTCTGATTTAAGAAGGATCACTTTGAGTTTCTTGACATCTAGTTTGAGGTTGGCTGTTGATTTTCTGTATATTGCCTTTATTATATTTAGGTATGTTCCTTATATCTCTTCTTGTATTTCCTTCTAGTATATTTTGTAGGGCTGGATTTGTGGAGAGGTATTGATTAAATCTGGTTTCATCATGGAATATATTGTTTTCTCTTTCTATGTTGAATGAAAGATTTGCTGGGAATATTAGTCTGGATGGCATTCATGGTCTTTTAGCCTGACCTTATGACTTATATTGTTTCTACTGAGCAGTCAGGTGTAATTCTGATAGGTCTGCTTTTATATGTTACTTGGCTTTTTCTTTCTTTGTAGCTCTTAATATTCTTTCTTTATTCTGTATTTTTAGTGTTTTTATTATGAGGTGAGGGGACTTTCTTTTTTGGTTCAGTCTATTTAGTGTTCTGTAAGCTTCTTGCATTTTTATAGGTTTGACCCTTTGTAGGTTTATGAACACTTTCTATTTGACTTTGTTGAATATATTTTCCATGGCTTTGAGCTGAATATTCTTCAATTCATATTATTTTTAGGTTTGGTCTTTTTATGGTGTCCCATATTTCCTGGTATTTTGTCTTAAGAATTTGTTGGATTTAGCATTTTTGTTTGACTGATGAATCTGTTTACTTTATCATGTCTTCAAGGCCTAAGATTCTATCTCTTATATTCTGTTGTTTGTGTTTACATTTGTAGTTCCTGATCATTTACTCAGATTTTCTATCTCCATATTTCCTTTAATTTGTGTTTATTTTTTATTGACTCTAGTTCAGTTTTCAAGTCCTGAACTATTTTTTTCACTTGTTTGACTGTTTTTTCTTGGTTTTCTTTAAGGAATTTGTTAATTTGTTCCAATTTTTTATTTGTCTTTTCCTCCATTTCTTTAATTTTTATTTCCTCTTTAAAGACCTCAATCATCTTCATAAAGTTATTTTTAAGGTAATTTTCTTCTGCTTCATCTGCATTGGGATGTTCAGGCCTTGCTGTTGTAGAACTACTAGTGTACGGTGGTGTTGTCTTGCTCTTTATGTTGCTGAGTGTATTCTTACCTTGTTGTCTACACATCTCTTCCTCCAATCAGAATAGATAGAGTCTGTGTTTCAGGGGGTCCATTTTATCCAAATGGTATAGTTGGGGGCTGTTGCTCTGTTGATTGCTTCTTCAGGTGTGGGCAGAGGAGAGCCTTTGGTCATTGCTCCTCCGGGTGCCTATGGGCCCGAGGCTCAGATGATCATAACACATGGTGTTGGCAGGGTTGATGATGAAGCTCCAGGGGTCAGATAATGTCTGGAGGCCACTGCTACCATCATGGCCTGCTACGTTGCTGCTCCTGCTTCTCTTCCCAGTGGTCTGTCCCAGTACAACACACTATGCTCATGCATCTTCTCCCCGGCAGCCTGACACAGTCTGGCCCTTCATGCTGATGCTTATGCTTCTCCTCCCAGCAGCCTGGCCTGGCCTGGCCTGACCCTCTGTGCTACTGCTCACATTTCTCCTCCCAGACAACCATCCTGGACTGGCCTATTGCACTGCTGCTTATACTCCTCCTCCCAGCATCCTAGCCTGGCTCAGTTAGCTGTTTCTCACGCTTCTCCTTCCTGTCCAGCCTGTCACATTGCTACTTAAGCATTTCCTCTCAGCAGGCTGGTGTGGCCACCCTCACTACTGCTCACCTTCTCCTCCCAGTGGTCTGTGAGAATATTTTTTATTCAAAGCACCAGAGGAACATCAGTCTATGAACTAACATAGAAGAGGCAGAATCAGGAGGAAGGCCAAGGCATTTGCCAAACAGATTTAGGATCTGTGCTGATGACATGTTGTTGAGAATTTCTCAGGAAACCAAGTAAGGGTCAATAAAGGTCTTCAAAGAGGCCTAAAGGATGTGAAGGACATGGGCCCTAAGGTAGGATGTGGGGTATTGGCATCACTACTCCTGTTGGAGGTCACCATAGAAACTGGAAGACAAAGATCATGGGAAACAGTAATCTACATTATAGACCAATTTTTATAATTGGAGACCTGTAATAAGGACCTGTCTGCTTTGGTCTCTCAGTGATCATAAAGAAGAGACTCAGAAAGACCGTATGACTCAGGGACTAGGCTTAGATGACACTTTTCTGTCATGAGCACCTCATCAACTCAGGACAGGAGGAGAGCAGTACCAGGGACAT